TATATATAAAACAAAATCCTTTACCTGTGGCAATTTTCTAGAATAAGGCTAATACTATCTACTAATTCTCTCTCGACTTTGTAATGTGAATGGCTGGTAACTTTATCCAACAGTTGTATGCAAGCTTCAAGTTTAATAGCTACAGCTTCAAACCATTCTTTATTTCTTACACCTCCTTTTAAATTATGTTCTATGTCACACGTTTTATCATGACTCGAATCTTGTGATGTATCAGCGAATATATTGACACTTTTTTCCATAAGTGATTCTATAGATAATATAGTATCTTCTTCGTCTTTATCATGGACGACAAGAGAAATTAATCTTCCCCATGCTCGAATCGCCATCTATAATATTCAATAAAATTTGTTATTAAATCATCTTTTTTGTTGGAATATATTAAGAATGATTCAATAGGTGTAAAAATATATTACCATTGTAACTTTGTGATTCTGAACTTCATTTCCGATTGCTATTTCCTGTAATCCACTAACAATGCCAGGAAAAAATGCCATAATAGTATTTGCTACTTGATCTTGCATAATGATATCAGATTTGTCTACTTTATCATCAATATGACACAAGGCCATTACTGCATCTATTCCAGCTAATCTAATAATAATAAATTTAAATTAATCCAAATATACATAATTTATGTAATATATTTCACTAAGAACAAAATAATCAGAACATGAATTTAATTCAATTGAAAATAAATTGTGCATTGCTTTTTCTTGAGAGATAAAAAATCTTCAAATAATAAATATATAAAATATATAAATTTTAAAAATAGGCCTCAATCTCTAGAGTCAAAATTGGATAAGAGGCTTATTCAAATCTTTTTCCATAAAAAAATCATATAATTAATTCAGTTTAAAAATTTTGCTTATGATTCTCTGCTTCATTTAAAGATTAATTTAAAATTATAATACACATTGAAATATTATGCATATAATATATATTGAAATACTATATAATAAAACACCATCTTTAATATATTGTTTCTTTAAACATTTACTTCACAGTAGATGATTTTTCAATCCTTGCGATTGTTAGACATAAAAGTATTCCTTGACCAAGTTTTAGTACATTTTCTTTAGTATAAAGCGATTCTGTTACATCAGAAATACTTTGGTGAATAAGATCCTTAATACATAAAGCTGTTATTTCCTTAAGTTCCTCATGGAATAAAATTACTGCAAAATTAAAAAAAAATTAGATTATCATTAATTCTTATTTTTTTCTATAAATTCTTTATTAGTCTAATTTATATACCTTGGTTTGGCTGATTCTTGTCAAAAATCTGAATCAACAGAGATCCATAAATTTCAAAAAAGATTTTTAATTTTGTAATTCTAGTTTTTCGTATTATAATTCTCATGGTCTTTATCAATTCTTCTTTTACATCTGTGCTATATTGATATAATAATAAAAAAATATATTTTAAATTACAAGATAACAATCAAATATTCTAGTAAATAAAGAAATTTCAATATTTAGAATAGATAAATCTAGTCTCTATGCTTTATTTAACAATAATAAACATTACAATTATATCATTTTTTTGCTTCTATCACTAGCTCAAGATTTTTTGAAATTTTGACATATGACATATATTATACTTTGTGATATTTGATTTAAAATTTTTTTATAACTTTAGTATAAAGTATTTATAATCTTTGATAGCATAAATATATCTAACATTTAAAATTTAACAATTACAAAAACATTTTAAAATATATTTTAAATTATACTGCTTCACAAGTAATAATACATGCTATATGCCAAAACAAACTTTAGACTAAAACAAAAGCAAAAATATAATTAAAAATATAATTAAAAATAATTGCATCAAATATTTGTTGTTAGTTAAAAAAATAAAGTATTGAAATTGAGTTTAAATTATATTTATTCACTATGTTGAAATTTCTTTCATATGTATAATGCATAATATATTTATCACCATATGATTTATGTATAATAGATAATGGAAAATAAAAATCGCACATAATGTAAGTTATAATCAAGAATGCCACATTGAATTACCTCAAATTGCTTCGTAGAGCGGTAATAATTGGAATTAAGCAATATGTTGACAGATCTTGCATAGTTTCATCAGAAATGTTATCAGCTACCTTGGCGATTTTTTGTGCATGATTCTTACACGGATTTTTCATCAGATTGTCACAGCACGACTTCAGCTCGAGAAAAACTTGTATGTCACATCGATTCATCTCGATATTGATATAAAATATCACTTTTTTTCTAACCACGATACGTTCTTGAACATTTGCGCGCTTATGCATACAACGCATAACATGTTCCTTTGGCTGTGTTCCAAAATTCACTGCTAGACTGAAAATCTATAGTTCGCGTGACATATACTATACATTATCAGCGTTGATAGTAAATTTTGGAACATAGTCTTTCTTTTCTCCTGTAAGTGAATCTGATAGTTGCACACAAAACGCGGTAAAGCGGCAACGCGACAACGCGGCAACGCGGTAGCCAATTACCGTCTTGTTTTCTGATATATAATTTCGTACATATCAGAAAAAAAGACGGTGATTACCTATCGTGCGTCCTGTATGCAACCAGCCTCAATCAGAAATTAAGAATTGACCAATCACAGATTGAGTATAATAAGAATCTCGATTATGATTGGTCAATTCTTATTTTCTGACTTATGATCTATCACTTAGTCCTGGTCTATAGGTGATTTAAGCCTTAAGCCATAAGAAATGGACGAATCATAGTCAAAGAATGTTAGGAACGTTAGAAAATTAAGAGTTAATAGAAATGATGAATCAATTCCATTAAAATTACCTATTTCTTATCTATGGATAATTATTTACGTGTGTATTGAATTTAACTATATTTTAGGCGAGTTTTTTAATTCATCGATTAATAAATCGCATTATGCACAAATGCAACTTTGTTCTATAAAAACAGCATTTGCGTATTATGCGATTAATCAATCGATGAATTAAAAAAACTCGCCTTTTATTTCGTTGAAATAATATTTTGACATGATCTTTTTTTAATTTTTGTTATAATGCTTGCTACACTGTTAGATTTTGCAATTTAGCTCTTAAATAATTATATATATTATAATATAATTATAATATAATAAATTATAATATAATTATTAAATCATTATTTCTTATCTATGGTGTATTTGTTTGGGTTTATCTATTTTTCATCTTGTAGAAGTAATATTATATCGTAAGACTTTTTTCTACATATTTGTTATAAAGCTCTGTACAAAAATTTCTACAGAATCAAATTTTGCAATTTAGTTCTTAAAAATTTACGATAAATAAAAATATCTATACTTTATTGCATTTCATAGTGCAAATCTAATTGCACATCAAACAAATTATTTAATCTCGCTTTTTTTTAAATTGCTCTATAGAGACGTGCAGATAATGTTCCTGATTATAGATGTCGCAATTACATTGCAAATCTCTTAATATTTTAGTCGTGATGTGGATGAACAGGAATTCATCTAAACGGAGATGCATCTTTTCTCTACACACGAAGTGTGTCTTTGAATTATAAAAACAACAACAATTCAAATGATAATTAAAGATGCCGATTTCGGCACTGGATGTAAGAACGGTGAAATTAATTACTACCACGCAAGTAATAACTTCTGTATACGCTGTGGTGAAAGAATTAATAGAAAATGCAATCGACGCCGATGCGGATAACATCGAAATTAACCTTGTAAAGTCGAGTTTTATGTATTTTTATTTTTTTAAGGAAACATTTTATTCTTATTTACACGGTTTTTCTTTCCTTCAGACAGATAATGGTACATCTCTTATAGAAGTGAAAGACAACGGTTGTGGGATATCCAAAGAAGATGCACTATACATGGGATTACCTTCCTACACATCTAAAATATCAAGCTTTGAAGATCTAGGTAACATTTGCATATTTGGTTTATAACATTTTGTTTGACTAATGTCTATTTTTGTAATTTAGATTAATTTTAATCTCTAATTTACTTTTTATCTTTAATTCTAAAAATTAAAGAGATAATATATTAAACCAAACTTAAAATTTATATATATTGATAGAAATGAATATAAAATATTTCTTGAATTATAGAATAATCATAATAATAAATTAAATTCTTGTATCTATATTGTCATTGTTTCTAGATACGTTACAAACATTTGGATTCAGAGGAGAGGCACTTAGCGCATTATGTGCAGTAGCAGAAGTTACTATTATAACAAAAACAGAAGAAGACAATGTTGGAATCTCATATATAATGGATCAAGATGGACAAATTGTAAAACAAGAACCCTGCCATAGAAGTACTGGTAAAAGATAATTTCTCAATTCTTAAAATTTTTAGAATATGTTGGAAAAATATATTGATCATAACACAATATTTTAATATATACATTTTAAGAAATACTGATGAAATGTATTAGGAACAACAGTACAAGTTAGAAATTTATTTAAGCAAGTATCTGTGAGGAGACAGATAATTACTAATACAAGAAAAGCTAATCAGACTATCAAATTATTAGAGGCATTACTGCAATGCTTTGGAATATGTAAACCGAACATACGAATTCAGTTCAGAGTAAACAACAATGTTTTATTTACAAAGCCAAGTTTAAATAATATCAAAGAAGCTGTGAATCATATACTTGGTAGAAAACTTATGTCTAACATGGAATGGATTGAATCTAAGAATGCAGAAGTGAGTATATTAAATAGTTGAAAAATATTGGTATGCAACCAAGAGAAATATGTTCACAATTAGTAATTCATTTATTACATTATAATACATATTATCAATTTATATCTTGATGACTTTTCAGCTTTCTCTGCAATTAATGCTGCCTTCAAAAAATATGCAGAATTTATCAGATATTTTTCATCCTGATTTACGCTATATTTTTGTAAATAATAGGCCTATTAAGCATAAAAATCTTGAAAAGGTATGTTTCATTTATATGACTAAATATTATTATATTCAATGTCAAAAAAAAAATGGACTTTTTATATACATATACGCACATATATAATCTTATTACACATTATAAACTAAATCTATATTTATAATGAAATAATAAAAATACATATATTTTTACATATATAGCTAGTAAATAGTTTAATATTGGAACATTTTGGACAAGAGTCATCTAGGAAAAAAGTATTATTTCTTATATATATTATTTTGAGTCCAATGGATATTGATGTCAATTTAGAACCAAATAAAGATGCAATTATGTTTAAAGATCAGGTAAGATTAAAGATTTAAATAACATTGTATCTTATATTAAATGAAGATGTATATTATATTGTTATTTATTTTATAAAGCACCAATATAGTAATGATGTAAATTACAATATAAAATATTTGGACTATGATTTTATTTTAAAGTTTTAAAAGTGTAAAATAAATTTATGTTGTGAATATTATAAATTATAATTGATATTTTAGAACAAAGTCCTTAATATTATAGATAAATATATAAGAAAATTTTATGGACTTAAATCTGCGGAAGTCGCTGAACAAAACATATCTATTGACATGTCTACCTATGAAGATTATATACCCAATTTGAATGAGAATGTTACCGATACTGAATGGCCTGCATGCAAAAAACGAAAAATACAAGAAAAAATTCAAGAAAAAGTTATTCAAGAAAATTTTATCGAAGATGATGCTATACTTATTAATTGTAATAATGGATATAAAAAATCTCCTCAAGATAAACAACTAAATGATAATCAAATTCATGATCAGCAGCATTACAGAGATGCATTGGCTATAACAACCAATATACAACCACCAAATTTGAGTGATTCTGATACGAATGATGCTTCCCCTGTTAAAATTTCATCTAATGATAAGGAGTCAGTATATAGAACATGATTTATACACAGATAAACATTGATAATAGAACATTGATAATATAGTTTTTAAAATATTTTTTATTTGTTCAATATATATTAATATTTATCAATATATTAATTAATGTAGCAATGTATATTCAAAAATTATAAATAACTACATAAATATTACTATTACTTATAAATATTAGTATAAATTTATTGTCAGTTTTATATATATGTATATATGTATAAACAGAGCAAAAGAAGAATTAACCTTAAGTCAGTTACCTGTAGTAAACCTTGGTGAAGACTTTGATTCCATACAAGATATTAAAAATTGTAATATTTCCATGAATGAAAACACAAATAACTTAAATGGCATTCAGGAAAAAGAACAAGTTACATTAGAAACCTGGAGTAAAGGACATGTTACTGGACTAAAGGTAAAATATTTAAGATCTATAATATATTAATGAGAATTTAGGACATTTATTTATTTTTTTTAATTTAGTTTTGTCTTAGAATTATAATGCATTTAATATCGTATTTATCAAATAACAGGGTGGTATGGATATAAAATCTGATATTGCTATTGAGAGACAATTAAATAATAATTTAAATAATGAAATTGATGAAATACTAGAACCAGACAGAGCGCATGTTGATCATCACAATCTTCAATTTCTAAAACATGTTAGATTACAAAGTATGTATATTGTACTATTATTTAAATTTTTTATATTATTCAACTATATTATTCATATACATAATCATTATTATATAAAAGCGTATATAATTGCAAAATTTTTTATATAAATATTTAAAATTATTATTAATAAATATCTTATGTATCTTTAGTTGCAAAGGAAAATCCTACATTAACAGTAGCTCAAACTGCAAAAAAGATTACTGACTTTTGGAAACAATTATCATCCGAAGAGCGTGGTTATTATCGTGATGTTGCAAAAGAAGAAGAAAAACAGCGTCAGGAACATAAAAAAATTGAGAAAAAAATTGAAACAAATAAAGCAGGCTCAGAGAGAAATAAGAGCAGGCTCTTGCAGTTATTTGAAAAAATGAAAAATTTAAAAAATGAGAAGAAAGAAAAATTAAATATGAGAACAATAGTACCTTGGATCATTGATAGATCTAAAATAATCACTAGGTTGAACTTTAAATATAAGATTATTTAACATATATTTTATACGCTAAATGTACTTTATTGATGAATTTGCAGATCAAATATTGACAATGAACACATAATAGGTCAATTGACACCCAACTTATGGGTTGCTACAATTTGCGAACAAATATGGGTTGTAGATATTATTGGTTTAATTAAAGGTTTAAAAGTTACCGATACCGATGCAAATAAGGTATTTATTAAACTCATCGTTTTTTTTTACACAAATTATACTATGTGTGGGAATAAATGCTTATAAAATGATTCATTGCTATTGTTAATATTATTGTAGATTGATGCCAAGAAGATTGAACGTCTTCTCAAGCAATGGTTAGTAGAACGAGACGATATGTCAGTAATGCATTCTATATGCAAACGAGAAAAATTTAAATAATACCATGATTTATGTAAGATATTTTTTAAATTAATTTATTAACAACTTTATAATATTTTAATGTTACATTTTATAGATAATATGTTTAACATACGAAATAAACCTTGAATTAAATTTGAAGCGAAAATGTAATTTGTATAATTTTACGTAACTATATACAATAAATAAATTGTACAGAAATAATTGATATATGTACATGTATATAAATTATAGAATAGAAGTTATGACAAGCGAAAATTCTCATTCCCATGTGTATTTTGTTTCTTATTATTTAGTGCATTAATATTGTATAATATTATTCATATAATAAATTAACGAATAATATTATTCATATAATAAAAAATAAATTTTGTGAATTCTAAATTTTTTCAATTTTAGATTTACTTACAAAATAATTTTATTGACATTGAGTATTATATCAAATTAATTGAGAAAAAGATACATAAAAGCACTTTTGTTTTGTGACTTCAACTATATTTTTTCTGCCTTAAGATAACTTTGTCAAATTTTTAATTTATTTTAATTTAGATGTTAAATATTATTTGAATTATTATTTAACAGTAGAAGAGATATAAGATCAATGAAAACTGGCAATTTGCATTTTCCGCTAAAAATATCAGGAGCGAAATCTCGATTCAAAATTATCGATTTTAAACGCGGGAAAAGTCGATACTCGATTTATCAGGTAGATGCTCCGGAATGCGCAGAATGAGTTACGAATTTATTTCAATTTATTCGAAACATCTTGATTTATAAAGATCCGTAGTTCTTGATTAAATCTCTCGCGTGTTATATACATAAGGATGTCTGTAAGTACGAAACTATATAATTTCATTTTTCTATTATTTAAAATTTATCCTCGAGATAACCTCACAATTTTTTTACAGGCGGCGAAACAGGTAAAGGATTATATACTTCGATCTTGAATTAATCATAGATTTTTACTCATTTTCCAAATCTTTTTTATAGCAACAAAATGTTGAGCATAAAGAAAAGAAAAGAAAAGAGAGTATTCTTGATCTTTCCAAGTATCTTGAAAAGAATATAAGAGTTAAATTTGCTGGAGGCAGAGAAGCGGAAGGTATACTCAAAGGTTATGATCCCTTACTCAATTTGGTACTCGACAATACAAAGGAGTATCTCAGAGGTGATGATTAATAATTTAATTACAATTATTAAATTTATCGTAAAAAATAGTTATGGAATATGGATTCTTGAAATAGATGACCATTTTCATTTTGTACTCTTTGATCTTTTATATATTTTGATTCTTCAAATTACTAAACTTCGTATATAAAATCGAGTTGAAATCTTTCTAAGATGATCAAGATTAAGCTTGGAATTTACTGAATATAAGTTGATAGTTCACATATGAAGCCATTTAATTCATTGCAAATTATAACTTTACATTATATCCTTACATTACTTTATGCATTTACTCAATTTCTTCATTTATATTTTAATTCTTCATCTATATTTTAATTATTTTTGATAGTATTGCAAATTATAATACCACTTGTAATAACACTTTTAATGTGTAACTGGTTTTCAGGAGTTTGCATATTTAAAAATATAATAGCTCTGAGTATAAAGTATTATTATTTATTATTATTAATATTATTATTAATATTATTATTAACATGTCTATAATAATATATTATTTTTATATTTATTATTATAGTTGGCAAAAGAAGTTATTTGTTTATATGTTATATATTAGATATCTATTCATTTCATTTTAATTCATTTCATGATAAAATATTATATACAAAATATCTTATTTTAAACAAATAATGTATAGTTCAAATAACAGAAAAATATTTTGTTACAAACTTCTACTTTCAAAAGGGACATAAAATGATGATTAGTTACATGTCAAAAGCATATAAATTTTATCTTTTTTAAATAAAAGTGTATAAATTTTTATATCTAAATTGCTATTTATATATTCATTTCAATATTCTGTAAAAATATCAAGAAAATTTAAAATTTATTAAATATTTTATATTTAAATATATTATAAAATATGAACTTTATTATACATTTTGTATAATAAAGAATTAATATAATAAAGCAATTAAAATATAAAAACAACATTAAAAATATATTGTAAATTATAAATTTCTTTTTAATTGCAATCATGTTCTATTTTTAATAAATCTATTAAATAATTTTCTTAATATAGATCCGGATGATCCATATAAATTAAATCAGGACACTCGTATGCTGGGCTTAGTAGTGTGTAGAGGAACATCTGTAGTGCTCATCTGTCCTGTTGATGGTATGGAATCTATACAAAATCCATTTATACAGCAAGAAGGGTAAAAAAAAATATCTTTACGTTTGATAATGTATAATACATTTGATATGTATAATGTCTTAAAAAACTACCTTATTTTTAAATACTGTTTCCATTTTTCTAATAAAGAAAATATAATTTATTTTACATTATGAATCGAGGAAACTTACATATATAGGAAATAAATGCGATTTTTTTATAAACATGTTTTTTACTTATGTTTACAATAAATAACACAATTGCCTCTCTAAATAAGGTACTGTGTGAACTCTTGATGATGTACAAATAACATGCAATAACATCTTACATTATTTTTATCATTTTCATTCAATTCCGAATTCGTTTCTTAGCCATGGATATTGTTTTGGGCATTCGAAACATGTATGTAAATACCTATATGATTTAAGCACTTTACTAGGTAATTTACAATTATTTGGCAAGTCACAGGCGACCTCGAATGGTTCAAAATGCTGCTTTGCGCATTGCCACGGTACAAATTTTTCGATTTCGTTTAGAGGTGTTGGCTTACGCATCCATTCCACAACCTGATGACTTGTGATGAAAAACACATCGTCCAAGCGAAGTAAGTCATCGATGAATTTCTAATGATATATGATGAAAATATTATTATTTATAATAAAACAGAGTAAAATTTATCAGATTAATTAAATCTATACAGAAGAAAGTTATGATAATTTTAAACATTTCTCATTCTTTTAGTATTATAATTTTTAATGCTATAATTTTTAAAATAATATTTTATATATATAATATATATAATATATATTGATAAAGAATTTTCTATAAGCAGAATGAATATTATGAATAATTATATATTATAGGTAAATGTTACATCAAATAACTTTATATTAGTTGATAATAAGTATCATTAATAATGACAATCTTGTTACTTACATTAAATGCATAAAAATACATTGGATTTTGAAACCACGATGCATGAACATGTAGGCCGAAAGGTGCGCGATTGGTCAGATAATGCCTTTTAAAGTTCAACATCAATATTTTATATATCTCTTCGTCAGATAAATCAGAGGGACATGAATCTACTGTACTGCACGTGTAATCCTGAAAAGAAAAATTTTGAAATAAATATAAAACAATATTGTAAATATCGGAAATAAATCAGAAATAAAATATCTAGTCTAATATTTTTGGATATATTGTTTATAAATATTATTTTTATAAAAGAAAGGTGAAAAATAGAGCAATCACAGATGAAGCTATAAAAGAAGTATTTTAAAATATTTTGATCTTTTACATTGATTTTTTACACAGATTGCCTTTAGTATAAAAAATGCAAAGTAATAATTGAGAAATATTAATATAAAAAGAAAATATATTTATTATATACATATATAATTACTAGAATTGCTCATAAAGATTTAAAATATGAGCTATATCTGAATATGGAATTCAGAAAATTATATTTTCTTTTTTGATATATTGAATATTTTTTTTTATATTCTAATTTTAGCTATAATGGGATACATTTTTGAATGTTAATTATTCATTGTTCACTTACGTTTGCTAAAAGTTGATTTAGAGGTAGTTCCCAGATATTCGGGTAAGAACGGGTAGGACAGAGCTGTCCTGCACGAACACATGAGTGTGGCAGTTTGTAATCAAGTGTGTAGGGCCAAAAAGGTGGATAAGAAAAAGGTGCAATAATCGAGGAGTCATAAACGAAACCAAATTCAGACATCATTAGAAATTGACGATTCCATCCGATTTGTAGGAAGGGCGCCCTTACCCCTATGATACATAATATTATTTTATAATAAATTTTTTTACACATGTTCAAACAGAACTATATTGTATTAAAGAAAAATACATGCTTGACATTTGTTATAATTAAATTAATAATTGAAATTTATATTTCTACATGAAAATCTAATAATTTTGATGTAAATCTTATCAGTAATCTAATCTAAATCTTTTCAATCTTTTCGTTGCATCAAACTGAAGATGAGATTTTTACCTTTGATATCGCCGATATGAACTGCTGCATATTTTTTGATGATGTTAGCTATTCCGACCATTTCATCAAACCAGTCTTCAATTGTTGCATTCTTTGACCACCATTCTTCCGGTCCACGATGTCTAAGAAATAATCTTCGATTTATTTTAGACATCAAATCAAATAATCTTTAATGTCTTTGCTTATTATATTTCTCTTTTTTCTTTAAAATTATTTTTAAAATACTCACGTAACGGAATGTGCAGCTATTTCGTGACCAGTGTTCCACAAATATTGTACATCTCTATAATTCGTATACTGATGACTAATATAGAAAGTACCTTTTATAGGACAACCATTAGGATTTTTTCTATTATCCGTAAAAATTTCTATAAATAATGAAATAATTATATCATAATTATATTATATTATAATATAATTATATTATATTATATTATAATTATATTTTATTATATTCTTTTTCCTTGCTAAAAAATATAAAACGAAGAAAATTATTATTAATCATGTGAAATGATCCTTTCGCAAAGATAACTTTTAAATTCAAGGAATTGAGTTTTCTGAATATAAGTTTGAAACGTTCTCCAGAATGACGAGCCGCTATTGATGATGATGATCAATTTTAGAGATTTCGGAATAGAGTTTTTATGTCGGATGGATGCATGATCCTTTGCGTTAATTATTAAAAATTTAATAAAGCTCTTAGGTGTTTGCTTTCTTAAATAATATTTTTTTATTCCATATGAATCTTTCGGCTAGTGGCCAAGTGAATTCGCGTGGCAATATTTTGCAATAATATTTTTAAACAATATTGCGTTGACATAAGTTATTGCAGATTTATTTAAATTTTTGAAATAAAAAAAATGAAAAAAAGGGTAAATATAAAAATATAACTTCTTAACTTACTTGAATAGAGTTCAAAATTTTCATCATTTACAGCGTCATCAAAAGTGATTGTTATCATTTGTGGAGTGACGAGTGCACTAAGATTTCCTGGAATTTGAGTCCCATCTTTAGAACACCAACAATTTGGTAATTGACATTTTTCCATGTCACAAATTGGCGCGGCATTAATATCATGCCTCATGTCTATAACAGATCGATGTTTTTATTGATTGATGTATATTGTAAGAATTATTATTTCATCTTTATGTTAAGATCGAAAATAAAACTATTATTTTTATATTTTTTTATTTAAGAGTGAAAACACATTCTATGAATGAGATTCAAAATGTTTAACGACATAATATATAATTTGGAAAATTATAAGATACCAAACTTTCTTCTTATCATTATTTCTTATGTATCCACAAAACGTACCAATTTTGATTTTTCGATCATTTTTTTAAATTTTTCGGTATTTGAATGTTTACTGTGATATTAAATTTTATATCAGATTTTAATAAAACTGCCTACAAATGAGAAACATTTTTAAATTACGTGCGCATGTGTACAGAAAATGGAGTATTTTTTTTTTATATTATTTTTTTACATTAACTTTTGTTAAAGAAAAATTAATTCCAAATTTGTAGACAAATCTATTGTTTGAAATATATGTGCATTTTATGTGAGTGTAGGTATGTAAAGAATTTTATATATAAATCAAAATTTCGATATATTTCAAACATTCTTTGCATTTCTTACCACACCATCCTTCATCGGAACCGTCAGGACAATCGACGCTTCCATCGCAGAAATATAGAGCTGGAAGACATGTGCCATCTCCGCAAGCCAAACTTTCCTCGTCACACTCTCCATTTTTAAGTAGCGGCTTTGCTGGTTGGGTATCTACGAGAAACTTTGAAAATTTCACATCACCATTCGGTACATAGCAATTATATTTCTTTACCCTACAAAAATATTTCATAAAGCTGTATGAGTTTAAAAAATTCCTATCTTTTACGAAAAAGACGATACATATACGATAACAATTATTGTGTGTATATATACGTATATTGTTGCATACATTTTATCTAAAATAAAAAATATTGTAAATCTGTGGTTTCGGTATTGTATTTGTAATAAATATCTATTTATATTAAGTAATTTAAGACTAATATTATAACAAATGTATTTCAATTTATAATGAAATTCCAATTCAATGTTTACAAAGAAAGAAATAAGATTAACTTGTCATCGCCGTATGATTTTCCGGGTGAAAGTATTGCGTGTATAACACTCGATCGCTTTCTTAAGAGTAGAAATCGGCATAAGGTTTGCCGGCATTCATTCTTGTTTGTCTCTTGGGCCTTGTCAGTCTCGCGCTCGCGTTTAGTAAACTTAGCATAAACCTGAAGTATACCTGAAGTTACATCGCAGTTATCGACGTTTGTCTTAAAATCACAAATCTGTCTGGAAACGTCAAAGAGAAGTCCTTGCGAACACTTGAATTCGAACACTTCATTGTCTAAAACATGATTTAAAATAATATAAATTAATATAACATAAATTACGTTTTCTTCAGATTTTACATCCAAGTAAATGTAATGAGATTTTTCATGATAACTTAATGAACATAATAAAAATATATAACGAATAATATGAAATGATAAAAATAATAAAAATAATTGTAAAAATACGTGAAATAATAAATATGATAAAAATATATAGTATATATCATATTTTAATATGTGAATTTAATATGTGACAATTTATTTAATATTACATTGATCATGATACTTGCAAATATTGTTTTCTTGAGTCTTTAGACATTAAAAGTTTACAAATAAAAGAACAATGAAATTTTTAAGTTGTTATTAAAAAACTCATGTTTGCAATGAATAATGACAGCATCTCATATATCAATGATTTTTTAATGTGTGTAAACTTGTACAAAAATATGACACATCTGAAAATATAACTTAATACATAATACATAATACATAATACATAAAAAAATGTTGTATCCTTTAAATCTCCTTATTGAATCGAAATAAAATATTGTAAAAATACTGTCATTTTCTCTAATTTTAATTTTAAATACAAATAAATAATTAATTCACTGACAAATTTAATTGTTTAAATAAATTGTTCATATAATTTAGAATTACCTAAACAGAGGAAATATTTAGCACATTCTATAGGTGACCAGACACTATGCGATGGTGCATTCGGATTACGATAGAACTTGTTGTCGTCTATACAAGGAACTTCTCCGGATTTTCCTTTCTCCGCCAGAGTGTTCGCTGAAAACATCACGACGTAGAGGTATGAGTCGTGTGACCCACATTTTCCTTGTTTCTAGATTAAAAAATGAATAAATTTTTTCTACAAATTAATAAATAATAAACATAAATTGTTCGTTAAAATTTTTATCACATATAAATATTGAAAATTCTAATAATTTATAACATTTTATTATTTTTAATTATTATTTAATTTAATTATTACACACACACACACATCTCATTACAAATATATTTATAGTGATAAATAGTGAAATTAATAAAGAGCACAAATATATAAAAAATATAT